TGCTGGCATTTTCCTAATCACCTTTAGCTCCAGTCGTAGAAATACAAAAACACAGAGACACAAACAACACAACACACAACACCCGTCCAGTCCTCCCATCCTCATCCCTAGTGGATCAGCAGTGGCAGAACCTGCAAGGTGGAGTTAAAAGAGAAATCGGCCTAGAATCCCTACATAGCCATAAGAGGACTAAGTCCAACTTTCCTTGAATTCCATGGACTCTTGTCTTACTCTAATCAGGTGGTAACCCTTAGTTGAGAAGATTAATGTCCAACTAACAGATGGTATAAAGGTAAAGGTTCCCCTCGCACATACAATATGTGCTAGTCGTTCCCGACTCTAGGGGATGGTGCTCATCTCCGTTTCAAAGCCGAAGAACCAGCGCTATCTGAAGAGGTCTCCATGGTCATGTGTCGGGCATGACTCAATGCCAAAGGTGCACGGAACGCTGTTCCCTTCCCACCAAAGGTGGTCCCTATTTTTCTACTTGCATTTTTTACGTGCTTTCGAACTGTTAGGTTGGCAGAAGCTGGGACAAGGAACGGGAACTCACCCCATTACGCGGCACTAGGGATTCAAACCGCTGAACTGCCGACCTTTCGATCGACAAGCTCAGCCTCTTAGCCACTGAGCCACTGCATCCCCTTGGAGTTCACTTACATCCTCATAAACTGAGTCACCCGATTGTCCTCGTTGTCATTCTCTGGACTAGTTTGCTTGAACTCTTCAACATTACGGCGTCTCCTTGACCTCTCCTAGCCTTTCAGCCCCGTTTTGGGAGATCTCCTCCTGGAGTATCTAAGAAGATTGAATTTTTTCCCCCAAGGTTTCCACTTCTTCCTGTCAGGTTTTTCCCAAGAGGTTAGATGTGGAACTCACGTTTGACCCTGAGGCCACAGACCCTGTAGACCCGTGGCCTTCCTTGGGTGGCCATTTTGTTCCCCAAACATCTCCCCAAATGTTGTTTGGAACAGCTTTGACCTAGATCCGAGGCCATGTGTGAGCTGTGTAAAACAGAAGCCCCGCTCGGTGTTCTTTTGACAAGAGAAAATGACATTGTAGAAGAGAGAGGACATTGTCACTTTGATTAGCTTCTGTTTGATCATTATGATTTTCATCTAAGCGCATCGCGAGGGTTTCTTCGCTTGCCCTCCCCCAAAATGTCATCAGATGTTACATGCTCTCTTATAAATAGTCTTCCGTCAGCTTCTCAGCACACGTTGCTGTTTGTAATTATATCCTTTGGAGTCATCAGAGGTTTAAGCCAGAAAACAAACACAAAAAGCTTCTAACTAGGCAGAAACAATGAAGATGCAGAGCCCGGTTGCTCCCCTTGAGTTGATGCACCCTGATCTGTTAATTATTTCCATCATTAGCTGCTGAGTTGGGCACCCAAAAAAGTTACTAATCTTTGGTCTTGACTGATGCAAAAGGAGGTTTATTAGCATGGAAATGCATTTTTCTTCTTCTTCTTCTTCTTCTTCTTTCTTCTTCTCTTCTTCTTCTTCTTCTTCTTCTTCTTCTTCTTCTTCTTTCTTCTTCTTCTTCTTCTTCTTCTTCTTTTCCTCCACCTCCTCCTCCTCCTCTTCTTCTTCCTCTTCCGCCTCTTCTTCTTCTTCTTCTTCCTCTTCCTCTTCCTCTTCTTCCTCCTCTCTCTTCTTCTTCCTCCTCCACTTCCTTCTCCTCCTCCTCCACCTCCTCTCCCTCTCCCTCTCCCTCTTTCCTTCCTCCTCCTCTTCTTCTTCTTCCTCCTCCACTTCCTTCTCCTCCTCCTCCTCCACCTCCTCTCCTCTCCCTCTCCCTCTCCTCTCCCTCTCCCTCTCCCTCTCCCTCTTCCTCTTCTTCCTCCTCCTCCTCTTCTTCTTCCTCTTCCTCCTCCTCCTCCCCCTCCTTCCTCCTCCTCCTCCTCCTCCTCCTCCTCCTCCTCTCCTCCTCCTCCTCCTCCTCCTCCTCCTCCTCTCTTCTTCTTCTTCTTCTTCTTCTTCTTCTTCTTCTTCTTCTTCTTCTTCTTCTTCTTCTTCTTCTTCTTCTTCTTCTTCTTCTTCTTCTTCTTCTTCCTCTTCTTCCTCCTCCTCCTCCTCCTCCCCTCCTCCTGAAATATGTTTGTAGTTTCCATTGTTACATAAGATTCTGGGACAATCTGAAGACTGACTAGGAAGTCACTTATTGTCAGGGTCAAAATTATGAATGATGAAATGTTATGAGGAGAGCAAATGTTTCTGCTGTCTGGCTTTTAAAAGCAACAAGGAAGAATGTTTTGTATGTGTGGAGTTTCTCAAGGGCCAATTTGAACAGAGTTTTCTTTACACAAAATTGTATCTGTTATTCAGCACAAGAGCTGGCTGAATTTTAAAAAATGGTATTTTTAAAAAAATCTAAAGCGTTATTGGCAAGATCTGTTGTATAAGCCATTCAGACAGGCTCTTTAGCATCAAAAAGAAATATTTAATCCCTTGTTAACCTCATTTGGAAACCTCCCAGTGTTTTCTTTTTAAAAAAAATCTGTTTTCTTAATTTATGTTATTTGCTGGGAAGTTTTTTTTAATGGTCTTTTACGCATGACACATGAAGCGACTAGCAAATATTTAATTTAATAAAATATTTATAGCCTGTGTACCATCCTAATGCACAGTATAAAGAAAAAGAATCAGAAAAACGTTATTCCCAGGAGAAAGGAAGTTAGGTTTTATGAATAATTTACTACCTCTACTTAACCGTAGCTTAATGAAATACCATTTGAAGGAGCTAATGGGTGGATGGGATGGGAAGAGTGTATCCATTATGCTCCAAAATCGGGCAAATCAAATAATGTTTCAGAGATGCAGTCAATGCAAATGGCATTGTTTGTGGGATGACATCGTTATGCAAAAATGTAAAGCACAATAGAATTTGTCTCTTCCATGCAAACTCCTTTTCATTGGAAAAGAGTCCCTGCGGATTTTACTCTGATAATTGTTGCCAGCTATAGGGGGAAATGCTCATCTCCATTTCAAGGCCTTGAGCAAGAGCTGTTGGAAGACAGTTTCCACCAGCATGATGTCACAGAACTCTGTGATCTTCCCACCGAAGGGATACCTATTTATCTATTCTCATTTGCATGCTTTTGAACTGCTAGGTTGGCAGGAACTGAGGTGAGGACAGGAGCTCGCCCCATCGTGTGGTACTTGGGTCTCGAACCTGGGCCATCACAGAGCTCTGTTACCCTCCCATTGAAGTGGTACCTATTTATCTACTCTCATTTGCATGCTTTCAAACTGCTAGGTTGGCTGGAGCTGAGGTGAGGATGGGAACTCACCCCATCGCGCGGCACTCGGGTCTCGAACCTGGCTTTCCAGCCGACAAGCCCAGGGTCTTAATTGCTGAGCTGCTGCCCCACCCCTTTTCATTGAGGGACAGCTAATTAAGAGTTTGTTGTATGAGAAGTTATCTTGTACAGAAGTTAATACACCGCTTTGACCACATATGACTAGTCTTGACTTACGACTAATAACTGAGGCCAGGATTGTGATCGTTAAGTTGTTGTATTCACAAGTTGATGCATCTCATGATTAGATGTGATTTTTCAGCATTTTGGGTGGCCATCTTTATGCGAACGCCATGGTTGTTAAGCAAATTCTGTGGTTGTTAAGCAAATGAATTGTACCCAATGGGCGTGCGCGGAAAGCGACCCGGTGGTAACAATATCTGAAACCCACCGCTGATTGCAATCCATCATCCCTGTTCATGATTAGAAAGGTTTGCAGGAGGTATTTATGACACAACAACAATAAAGGGAAAAAAGAACAAGGAGGGATGAAGAAGGCATGCTAACCCAAACGTGATTTTTGCAAGTCCTTTCTACGTCATGACAGCCTTGTTAATGAAAATGGATCCAGGAATTATATAGAGCTGCTCTATCTTGGCAGAGCTGTTAGAATTTCCAAAATTTTCCCTCTGATGTTGGCTACATCATAAAGAAAACCGTAGAGCAGATCTGATCCATAAATAGGATAGAGCAGGGATCAGCAATCTGCGGCTCTGGAGCCGCATGTGGCTCTTTCACCCCTCTGCTGTGGCTCCCTGTCACTCAAAATATATGTCACAACCGCCAATGTGCGACACCCACTGACACATGATTTATTGAGCTTTTCAACCCCGGTAGGCCAACCATGGATAAATCCAAGAAAAGAAAAGTTTCAGAAGAAAACAGAATGTTTAATTCAACTACATATGCTAGTTTTGTGGCCGCTCAAGAAATAGTCAGGCACGGGAAGGGTTTTGTGGCTCCCGGTATTTTCTTTTCTGTGGGGAAACGGGTCCAAATGGCTCTTTAAGTGTTTAAGGTTGCAGACTCCTAGGATAGAGTAAGAGCTTCATGATTAAAATTGTGTAGGTTCCCCTTCCCCCCCCCATTCAAGTGTACACAACTGGGGAAGTTGTGTGAATATGGGGAAGTTATCAGGAGAAATCATCTATTCATTGAACAGCAAGGATGTTGCGTCCAGCTTTTCCAAGCTCCGCATTGTGGAGTTTTAATTGCCAACTGTTACAACGGGGATTTAATCTCGCTTTCGAGTGAGATTCATACAGTACTTGACTTTTTTGCTTCTTTTTCTTGAACACGTTGGATGTTCTCAGCTCCCCATCAGACGTCTCTTGAACTTAACCTTTCTCAATACCATACACGATAATGGGTTTGAAATGGAAATTGAGCAGAACCTGTCTGGGTTACAAGTGACCGTATTGTAATTATATTTGATATGCTGTGATTTGGAAATTAGTCCCCGAAGCCAGAGATCGGAAGGACTTTAAGGGAACTGAAAACAGAGAAAAATAATGAAGTGGTAGAAGGGGCATCTTAAAAGGATGGAGTTCTCGGAAATGCAGTCAGGTCCTGTTTTAAGAGATTTTAGCCAAGTCATGCTCAACCATGAAATATTAAGGGAGCTGTGATCAATTGCCAGCTGGGTCTTGAGACTGAACAATTGTGATGACATTCTGCTCTTCCTCTTTGTTTTCAGTGGATGGCTGCATTGACTGGCTGGTGGACCTCAAGAAGTATATGGCTTTGGCAGGTGAGCCGCCGGTGCGCGTGAAATGCGCTCTTTTCTACAGCTATATCCGCACAAACTACAGCATGGCTCAAAGCACGGGGCTGCGTCTGATGTGGTACAAAAACAAAGGGGATTTTGAAGAGCCCATTATCTTCTCGGAAGGGAGGATCAACAAGGATGAAGACTCCATCTGGTTTCACACCGCGGAAGTCCAAGACAGCAGCTTCTACACCTGCGTCTTAAGGTGGGTGTCATGCAGGACAAGGATGGATGGATGGATAGATGGATGGGCAGATGGGTGGATGCTTGGATGGATGTTTGGATAAATGGATGGGCGGGCAGATGGTAGATGGGCAGAATGGTAGACAGGTGGATAGATGGATGGTTTTTTGCTTGCTTGGATGGATGGATGGATGGATGGACAGATGGGCAGATGGATGGATGGATGGATGGATGGATGGATGGATGGATTGACGGATAGATGGGTAGATGGGCAGATGGGTGGATGGGTGGATGGATGGATGGATGGATGGGTAGATGGGTAGATGGGCAGATGGGCAGATGGATGGATGGATGGAGGGAGGGAGGGATGGATGGATGGTTGGATAGATGGGTGGGTGGGTGGGTGGATGGATGGATGGATGGATTGCCAATGGCATATGTAGCAAGCAATGATGATCCACAGGATGACACTTGCATCAAGATATGCCTGCTCAAGCAGACAGTGCAGTGCTTGTGTTCTGATGTTAAATATGGCAAATACATACATGACATCATTTCATGACTTTAAGAAACGTGTATCATTCACCTTGTTTGGGAATGCCTATGACCTGGGCTATGTTTCGGAGACTTGGGAGGTCTCCATCCATCCATCCATCCATCCATCCATCCATCCAACCAATCAAGCAACCAACCAACCATCCAGACTTCCAGATCATCCTCCCTTTTCAAGTGGTTGCTGCTGTGTTATTGTTGATCATCATTATTATTGTTGGTTAACATATTGAGGTTCTTGTTTGATGGTATTAAAGATCTAAGCTGTTCTGAGTAAAGATGCCTTTTGCAATTGGCTGACAGAGATTTTGTCAATGCTAATAAGTGTTTAGGACATTTTGGGATGGCACACAAGGCGCCTATTGGAATTAAGTTGGCTTTCTTTTTCCACTGTCATCCTACTTCTATTTGCTGTTCTTTGTATTTTGCGATTTTTTCCTCCATCGTTGTCGTTGTTATTGTTGTTGTTATTACAAGCAGGGGTGGGGTTCGAAAATTTTAGCAAGGGTTTCTCTGTCTGGTTGCTGGGTGGATGTGGCCATGGTGGGTGTGGCCTAGTCGGCCTTCTGCATCATGGCATTTTTGCCCTCCCCAGGCTCCAGAGGCTTTTCTCGAGCCTCTGGAAGGGCTAAAACAGCCTCTCCAGGCTCTGGAGGACGTCTGGAGGGTGGAAACAGGCCCAAATTTCCAGCAGGCCCATTTTTCACCCCTCCCAGAGGCTCTGCATGCCCCCCTGCACTTACCTGCATCCAAAATGGGCTGTGTGGGGACTCCTGGGAGGGGAAGGGTGGGGTGGGCGGGGCCACCCAGGAGTGGGATTTGGGGTTCTCTGAACTGCAAGAATCTTAGCTAGAGGTTCTCCCAAATCCCTGCAAACCCCAGCAGCCCACCTCTGATTACAAGGCTGCCTGTTGTGATCTAGGTTTCCTGAGTCATTAAAACACATGAGTAGTCCCAAAAACCTCTTTTATTGCGACAGCTGTGAATTACATTCATTCACAGCTGAGTCCCAATTAGTTGCACAAAGTCCTTCCGGATAATCACCCACCTTTATCTCCCTTGACACGCTGCCAAAGACCTACTTGGCAAAGCCACACAAAGTCTAGAATCAAACAGAGATGCCAACTGGAAACAGAATTAACAATGTTGCTTTCCTGCAAAGGGCCCACATACCTTTGCTCCTCTTTTAAGCCTTATGAGAGGGGCCAATCATCTCCAGGCCTTACTCCTGAGTCGTCCCTTTTGTTTTAACTGTTCTTGCCTTCTGGCAGCTCTGCATATGCGCGCACTAGGAACAGGCTCCTCCTGTTTCTCTGCCTCTCTGATTTCCGACTCTGGAGGTTCCAGAATCCACACATCACTTCCAGATGGTCCTGGCCCCATCTCTGCCTCCGACGCAGAGCTCTTCTCTGGGCCTTCCCCAGACTCCTCACTGTTCGACTCCACTGCCAGCTCCGCAGGCTGCTGGTGGAGCACAACACTGCCTCACTCAGGAACAACTTTGGGTCTCTTTCAGTTAAAGTAGGATTCCATGTTGGGATGACCAACGTAACTCATTGACTGCAACTTAAATCTTCACTGGAACTCGACGGATTTGAATTTCTGCTGAAAAGAAGGAAGAAGGAACGGCCTTTCTGGATAAAGACAATGTAACCTGAGAAATACCTTTGCTAAACATACATTCGAGACCAGGGACCAAGGAGGTCAGAGCTATTTCTTTTAAAATGAAATGAGCCTGACTATAAATGGCCCTCAGAGAACTTTAAAATGCAAAGTGCTTGAAACGCACATTTCCAAGTTAAAAGTTTCTCGGCTGCAAGGGCAGGGAAACTGACAAGCAAACAAATGGGACAGCCGGGGTCGTCGTGACTCTGCCCCGTCCGTATCTGACCTCTGTCCATCGCCGTCTCTCCTGTGAGTTCCTGATAGAACAGAATATTTTTTTATTTGCGGTTATCTGAAGCAGTTGGCGGCCCGTAGAAAAAAGAAGAAGAAGAAGAAGCCCGCAGTGCTATAAGGAATTGATTTGAGTAATATGTCTCTTTTTAGATTGCAAAAGAGTTCTTGCCTTGAAAGAAAAAAAGAAGAAGGAAAAAAAAAAAAAGGAATCCGGGCTCCGGTATTGAATTGATTTCTGCTAAACGGCCACAAGAGGAGCTAAAGGAACGGCTCTCAAATTAATGGCAACGTTAGGATGCGCAAACTTCCCATCGCAGAATTCTGGGAATAGACAGTCGGCCGTACATGCTGCCTGGGGAATTGTGGGTAGGTGAAGTCGATACATCGGAGAACTCAAGAATCTCCGGGGATTGGCCCAAAGTCACCCAGCCAGTTTTCATGACTAAGAAAGGACTAGAACTCACCGTCGCCTGGTGATTGGCTCAAAGCACCCAGCCGGCTTTCATGCCTACATCGGGATTAGAACTCACCGTCTCCTGGTGATCGGGCCAAAGTCACGCAGCTGGATTTCGTTCCTAAAACAGGACTAGAACTTGTCATCTCCTGGTTTTCAGCCTGATGCTTTAACCACTAGACCAAACTGGCCTTCCTTGTGTAGGTCAATGCTTATCTCTGCCCAGACCATCCACTAGTGATTTTAGCATCCTTGGCAATGCTGTTCATCCTTCTCTCTCTCTCTCTCTCTCTCCATCTCTCTCTCTTTTTCCCTCCCTCCTTTCCTCTTTCTTTCCCTCCCTCCCTCTTTCTCCCCTCTCTCTGTCCCTTCCTCCCGCCTCCCTTTATCTTTCCCTCCATCCCTCCCTCTTTCTCCATCTTTCCCTTTCCATCTCTCTCTCTCTTCCTCCCTCTCCCTCCCTCTCCCTCTCCCTCTCCCTCTTCCTTTCCCTCCCTCCCTCGCTCCTTCTCCCTCCTTCTTTCTCCCTCCCGCCCCTCTCTCCATCTTTTCCTTCCGCCTCTCTGTCTTTTTCCTTCCGTCCCTCCCTCTCTCCACCCTTCTCCCCTCTCTTCCTCCCTCTTTCTCAATCTCCCTCCCTCTCCCTCCCTCCCACCCTCTCTCCTTGTACTTCTGGGATGTAATTCCCCTCTGAGTTCTGGACCAGGTCTCTTCCTCTCTCTTTCCCTCCCTCCTTTCTCTTTCTTTCTTTCCCTCCCTCCCTCTTTCTCCCCTCTCTCCAGCCCTTCCTCCCCCTCCCTTTCCCTCCGCCCCACCCTCTTTCTCCACCCTTCCCTTTCCATCTCTCTCTCCCTCCATCTCCCTCTCTCTTTCCCTCCCTCTCCCTCCTTCCCTCTCTCTCCCCCTCCCTCCCTCTTTCTCCTTCCCCTCTCTCCATCTTTCCCTTCCCCCTCTCTGTCTTTTTCCCTCCATCCCTCCCTCTCTCCACCCTTCCCCTCTTTCTCCTTCCCCTCTCTCCATCTTTCCCTTCCCCTCTCTGTCTTTTTCCCTCCATCCCTCCCTCTCTCCCCCTCCCTCCCTCTTTCTCCTCCCCTCTCTCCATCTTTCCCTTCCCCCTCTCTGTCTTTTTCCCTCCATCCCTCCCTCTCTCCACCCTTCCCCCCTCTCTCTTCCTCCCTCTTCCTCCATCTCTCTCCTTCTCCCTCCCTCTCTCCCTCCCTCCCTCTCTCCTTGTTCTTCTGGGATGTAATTCTCCTCTGAATTTTGACCAGGTCTCTTGGACCTTTGTGTCCAAGGAGCCACATTAAGAGCATCACCCAGGATCTCCTGATATCTAAGACCTGAATAGGAAGCGCGAGGCGTTCTGCGGGGAAGAGCTGCGCCATTAATCTTTCCGCTCTTGCTGATGCAACCAGAGTTTAAATCTGTCAGCATTTCCATTGCAAGGCCTCATTTTTCAAGAACGTAACAAATCAGCTGGAAAAAAATTCCACGCTGAATTGAAACGTTGCTTGCCAAAGGACCGAGGCTCCAATTGTTTCCGAAAAGAGCACGCATCCAAAGTCTGGCATAATTCATCAGCGTGCCAAAAATCCAGAGGAAGTTAATGGACGATTTGTACAATGATAACGGGCGGCCGTGATGATTCGGCTAATTGTAAAGAAACAAAACCAGACGCTTCCTCTACCTGCCCAACCTCCCAAAGTTAGAAGCTGTTAAAAAACCCTAACCCTTCTTTCCTTTGTTATTGCATCTTCTTCTTTCTTCTTCTTCTTCTTCTTCTTCTTCTTCTTCTTCTTCTTTTCTTCTTCTTCTTCTTCTTCTTCTTCTTCTTCTTCTTCTTCTTCTTCCTCCTCCTCCTCCTCCTCCTCCTTCCTTCTTCATCATCTTCTTCATCTTCTTCATCTTTCTTCTTCTTCATCATCATCATCATTTTCATCTTCTTCTTCTTCATTTTCATCTTCTTCATCATCATCATCATTTTCATCTTCTTCTTCATCATCTTCTTCTTCATCATCATCTTCTTCATCATCATCATCATCATTTTCATCTTCTTCATTTTCATCATCTTCTTCTTCTTCTTCATTCTCATCTTCTTCATCTTCTTCTTCATCATC